TGGGTCCCTAGAGACTCGCCCGGATCTGGAGCTCAAAGTTTGAGACTCCCTCCCAATTGAAACAGACAACCACACCCTCCGCTGCAAGCCCACTCCGCATGCACTCCACACCTTAGTATTTTACTTCAGCACTGCGCCCCCTCTGAGTCTCGGTATGCTATTCTCTTTCCTCCTAGTTGTAGAACTTCCACTCATCCAGCCTTCCTGTGGTTCTGGATGATGTCTGTTTCATCTTTTAGTTGTATTTTTGAAGTGGTTGTTAGAGGCAGCAAACCCCGGCGTTAACCTATGCCGCCATCTTGGTTTCTCCCCCATTTAGATCTTTCTAAGAGATCCAGCCACTCAGAGGGTGAATTGGGCCAGGGATGGGGGGCATTCAAAACTTCCTGCCATGGTGATTGTCTGTTTCTATTGTGTGAAAGATACACAGATGGGCGAGGTCCAGCCCTAGCTTCTTCCCTGCTCCTGTACTGATGGGGAGGCAGGTGTTAAAATAATGGCAATGCCTCACAAGTCTTCAAAGCAAACTATCCGTAGTGACAGTGGACATTTACTATAAGCCAGGCACTTTATTTTTTTAATTGTTTTATTGCTTAAAGTATTACAAAGAGTATTATATATGTCTCCTTTTTTTTTTCTCCCCTTGACCTGCCCCTAGCCTCCCATATCCCCCAGTGTCTTGTGTCCATTGGTTATGCTTATATGTATGCATACCTGTCCTTCGGTCGATCTCTTACCCACCCACCCCCAACTCTCCCCGACCTTCCCGCTGTAGTTTGACAATCACTTTAAATGTAGGATGTCAAGATGCCATTGAGGAAGGTGTGGCCTCATTTTGTAGATAGGGAAAATCATATATGGAAAGGTTAAGTAAACTGCTTCTAGGTGGTAGCGTCAGGCAGACTGATTCCTGAGCACACTTTCTTAATAACCATGTCTCATGAGATCCTTGCAATAGTCCTGGAAATGAGCCTGGTTCCAGCTTTTACATGTTCATGCAACCTTATTGTATTTAAAGGTTATGTATTCATGCAACCTAGGATGAATACATAACCTTTAAATACAATACAATGTGTTTTGCCTTTACATTTTTCAAATCAATGTTTTTGCCAGTGCTGCCAACTGTCTTTAGCCCATGTAATCACCAATTTCAGTGTGTACCCCTTTCGATGTAAGCAGCATTTGCTCAGCACCTTTTCAGCTGTGCCATGCTAATCACTTGCTCTCATTGGGAATGCCATTTGCTGTCAGAATTTAAGTGCAGTGTGGTTTCCAGGACAGGGACAGGTTTAGACTGAGCTTTGTTGGTGTAATGGTGCTTGAAAGAATTGGCAAGAAAAATTCCAGTAGGCATGATGTCTACACACACAGAACACCAGGTGGGGTGTGAGGTGAGGAAGGCATCGGGAGTCACTGGGAAGAATCAGGGCATATGGTTCATTGCAGCCCACATACTGCTGCCTCAGTTTTGGCTACAATGCATGAGCCTTGGTGCTTCCAACACTGGCTCTCCCTCAAAAACTGGTTTGGGCCCAAGCTGGTTTGTCTTAGTGGATAAAGCATTGGCCTGGGAAATGAAGGGTCCTGGGTTTGATTTCAGTCAAGGGTACATGCCCAGGTTGCAGGCTCAATTTCTAGTAGGGACCGTGCAAGAGGCAGCCATTCAATGATTCTCTCTAATCATTGATGTTTCTATTTCTCTCTTTCTCTCTGAAATCAATAAAAATATATTTTTTAAAAAAGTGGTTTGGACCCCTCTCCTGGGTGGCAGTGGTGTGGATTCCAGGCCCAGAGTAGTTACTCTACTGGCCCTGGCTGCATCACACTTCCACCAAAATTAAAGGACTTCCTTGATGCAACTGACCAGGAAGAATAGGAGTTTAAATGAATTAGAGATAACAATCCACAAGTAAAAAGCAAACTCCTTCCCTCAACATGAACAATGTTTAAAACTGTCTGGAAACTTGCTAAAACATCTCATGGTACATCAAAATGACCAATACCTGGAAAACTAGTGACTAGGATGTGAATTTTTCTCTAGTTTATCATTTAGAAGCAAATTTTTTTCATCATTTCACTTGGGCCCAGACCAGATGGGTTGAAACTAAGATCTTCTCACTTTCTACATAAAGGTGCCTAGGGCACCACTGGGTCCCTGGTTGGCTTGAATGCAGCTGAGCCTCCTACCTCCTTTTCCACACACCTACACCACAATATCCTCCTTGAACTAGATCCTTTGGCTTTAGAATACTGAAAAGAGATGCATATGGGCCAATTGAGGTCAAATTAACCCTATAGCCACTGTGGAGTCAAAGTAGATTTCTCCCTCTTTTATTGTCTTTTTCTGTATTTTCCAAATTTTCTACAATTACCATATATAACTATTGTAATTAACAAACATAAATCCCACAATGAAAGCACATAGTCTAAATGGAAAAACCAAACGATATATCCATCACTGTGATGGGCACTTTAAGGCTGAGACTGTGGGTCCCCATCCTGGGATGTCTGGTCCTATGAGAGCCTACTCTCTCAGCTAATGACTGGACCCTTCCTGCCCCATCTCCTTTTCACACTGCTTGCATCATGCCAAGAGAGCCAGGGAAGGAGGTGGAGGGCTCTGTCTTTATCACCAGAGGAATGAAGTGATTAATCTAAGGGGCTAAATAGTACTAGTAAATTGAAACTAAGTTAGGATAAGACAGTAACATTTAAGACAGCATGTTTTCTGAATTCTGATCATATGCCAGCTGTAGGGGGTGCTTAAGAAGGCAGAATTCTACCATTTGAGGGGCAGAATTTGATGTCATGAGTCAGTGGGGCATCTGTATATCAAATGGCTAGCCTGGCACACAGTAGATATTCAACACAAGCTGGTTTACTTCCCTTTAAGATCTCCCAATCTAAGATGAACAGAAGAGGGAAAACAGAGGGTCTGTGTCCTGCCTAGAAAAGGAATTTCCACCTCCAAGACAAAGGACTCTCTTGGCAAGTATCTCTTCCTCTCCTTCTTTGACTCTCAGGCAGGCCTAGAGTCCCCCTCCCCTTGCCCAACCTGGAAAACTGCTTAGTTGTAGAGGAAGATCCCCCAGGCCAGAGGTTAACTATTGCTCACCTTCCTTTCAGAGAGTACAACCCAGATCCTCTGAGGTCT